AGAGAGAGAGAGAGAGAGAGAGAGAGAGAGAGAGAGAGAGAGAGAGAGAGAGAGTGTGTGTGTGTGTGTGTGTGTGTGTGTGTGTGTGTGTGTGTGTTTTCCATGTGCTCTTCAGGCACTTCAATGTTTAGGGCTTTTCTTTTTTTGGGGGGCGGGGGGAAGGGGATAGGCTCCACCACCTAGGCATTACTGATTAAAACATCAGCCACTGGTGACTGAACTCAGTCTTTGACCCCTCTCCCCTCCCCAGAGTTCAGGGTGGCGCTGAAAGTTCTAGCCCCCTGCACACGTGGTTTGTGTTTCTAGAAATCTGAGTCTATCTAGGGACCCCAGCCACCTGCCATTTCAATATCTAAGACACTCTTATCCCTCCACCAAATTCCAATAGTTTTAGGAGACAAAGACCAAATGTTTATTTGTTTTTTATTACACCATAAGCACGTATTCTGCTCTTTGTCACTGTGAAAGTTAGTGGGAGATTTTTTAAAAGAATGCCATTCTATAACAGAGATCCTTTTTTAAAATAACAAAACAGGGTTGCCAGGGTGGCTCAGTGGGTTGAGTGTCTGACTCTTGATTTTGTCTCAGGTCATGATCTCTTAAGGGTCATGGGATCAAACCCTGTGACAGGCTTGGTGCTGAGCATGGAGACTGCTTAAAAAATATTTTCTCTCACTCACTGTCTCTCTCTCCCCCTCCCTCCCTCCTTCCCTCCCTCTCTCTCTCTCTCACACTCTTGCTAAAAATAAAAAAATAAAAGAAAAATAAAAGAAAATAACAAAACATAAGACTTTAAATATTCAAATAGGTGCCATCATCCAAAACAATTACCTCTGGAGAGTATATCGTGTTCTGATATTCACATTTCTTTCAAAACCAGATTACAAACCACCCAAGAAAATCAGCAATTATGCAGCATCCATACCACACAGATATTTCCAATACAAATCTCCTAATTCATTATAGCTTTCAACTAATAATGTTTTTTGGCATATCCAACTATCCATTATGCCAAATTATGCCATTAAAATTGGTAACTGTATATCAACAAAAATAAGGAATAAATACGCCTCTAACATAGAAGATAGCATTTAAAGCAATTTTTTAAACATTGTTTAGTGCTAGTCAATGTTAGCATTCAGAAATGCATCCTTCCACGGTTTCCTAAGATGGCAACTTAGATTTAGATATGTGAGTTTAAATATGTTTCTTTTCTGTTTTTCAAGTCTCATTATGAACCTATTTTTATATAAAAGAAACGCATAATTCAACAAGCTAACAATCTTTACAGAATGAAAAGACAGGGAAAAAAGTAAACTAATAATTGGCATAAGCTTATATTCTTTTCAAAAAAACTGTTTCTTGTATATACTTGAAGTCACTCTAATAACCAAACTAAGTTTACACGTCTATAACATACCATTTACAGCTTTTTCAATCAATTCTTCACAAGCATCAAAATCACCCTTCAACACCAGTTTATCATGTAGATCTGTTAACATGGGATGTTCCAGGGCAATCCTGGTTTTTTTTTGCAGCGATTCAAAGGCCTCTGTATAGTTGTGTTGTCTAAAGTGTTTTAGGCAAAGGCGAATGGCTTCCTGTTCACGGTACTACTGGAACACAAGAGAAAGTATGAAAAGAAGAGATTTGCTTAGTTATTACTGTAGGCAATAATAAGTGACAACAAACCTAAAGTGAGCGTTTACTATGTGCTAAGCACTGTACTAACACTCTTCATTAGTATCATTATCATTCCCACTTTGAAATGGCAAAACTAAAGCTTAGTCCATTGTAATCGCCTGCCAAAAGTCACAAAGTATATAGCAGAAAGATATGAAAAAGATAAATGTATACAAATATACCCACAGGTATGTATTTCATGAAGTTGAAAGATATAAAAAGATGAAACCAAACCTTGAGCCTGAACTTGTAAGAAAAGAAGCAGAAAAACTGTTTATCAAAGACCACTGAAGACTACCAAGATTATAACGTCTATAGCTTTTACTAATCAGATTGCAATGGTGGTACTGAAAGCACAGAAACCATTACACGATACACAGAAGTCATCACGCTTTTTGTTCCTGGTTCTTAGTAATAAGTTATTACTTGAAAAGCAAATATTATCCAATGTTTATATATTTCAAAATTCACAAACAGGTTTTATGCCTCAAAATGTTCAGAAAGAGATTACTTAAATTTTATAATTTTTTCCATGCCTGGCTACCTTATCTATTAAATAGCTATAAAGTAAACATCTCAATTAACTAGAATCCAAAAAGGATGTTGAGTTTATTAACTCTCTAATAGGATGAATGCCAAAAATACAAGCTCAGATTTTTTTGAAAAAGTAACTTCAAGAATACTTTATGAAATTTCCACAAATTTCCTAAGTTAACAAAATTAATGACAAAAAAGCAATGCATGATGACCAAACAAAAATATGATTTTCTTATAAGCATTATTCTTTAATAAGGCAAAAAATAATACTACCTTTTAGAAGATTTATAAGACTTGAAACACAAATAAGCTTACAGTTGGCTGATTTTTTTATTAATAAAATGTCAAAATATCTTTCCTTAAGTATTACAGTTAACCATGATTTTCCTTTCAAATAACAAAAGATTATTTATCCAAACTAACTTTACATTATTAATTTATTACCCTTGGCCTCTAAATAAAGATTTATCATGACTATCAAGAAACATACTAAACAGTGATACCTTTCAATCATGTTGCCTTTAGGAATGTGAGTCATATCCACATTTTAAGTTTTCTATCAAGTTGTATACAGACACATAGAAGGAGAAAATTTATGAAATAGAATTTTAATGCTTTAAGAAAAACACTAAAACTCAAAGAGGATGAAGAGTTATCTAATTTCTAGAGGTTCATAATAAATGCAGAGAACTTGAAAAGTGAACGAGGCTGAACAATTTTATGCTCTCAAATATAATCTCTCCACAAGGCTGGGGGGTGAACAGGTGAAATGTGCAACTTCCTACAATATCAAGAGATTTGTGTGAGTATGTTAAAGAAAACACACACCCACACACACACCATAGGCTAAAGGGAAAATTTTATTCAGTAACAGAGAAATTTAACCATTATTTTTTTTTTTAATTTTTTTTTTCAACGTTTATTTTTATTTTTGGGACAGAGAGAGACAGAGCATGAACGGGGGAGGGGCAGAGAGAGAGGGAGACACAGAATCGGAAACAGGCTCCAGGCTCTGAGCCATCAGCCCAGAGCCTGACGCGGGGCTCGAACTCACGGACCGCGAGATCGTGACCTGGCTGAAGTCGGACGCTTAACCGACTGCGCCACCCAGGCGCCCCTAACCATTATTTTTTAAAAGAACCAACAGAATTTAGAAGATGTTACGTATGTACTATTATGTGTGTAACACTGTAAAGGTGATTTTTAATATTTAAAAATATTGTCTCTACCTTGAACGAACTTACAGTATGACAGGGAATCCAAGAATATATGAAAAATACAGAAAATACTAAAAGTCGGCATCAATTTTAAGCTGAATATAATCAAATGCCAAAAATAAATTAGTCAAAGACTTCCTCAATTAAACTAACCAGAAAAAAGCTGAAATTCTACACTAAAAACCTAAGAATCTACATTGCTTCCCAACCTTCTAGGAGTAGATCAGTTCACCCCTACTTGAAAATAAAAATAACAGGAAGTGGTGATTGGACTAAAATTTTATTATCTTCTTGACAAGAGAGCCCCGCCCCCCAAAAAGTCATGAGTCGAATAAATATACATCAAAAACAAAAAACAAAGTATAAAGGGTATGCAAAAAACCCAGATCTATTCCTCAATAATTTAAACTCACATTTTTCAGACTGCATCTATTGTATAAAAGAGTCTATGAATACAACTGCTAAATATAATTCTTATACTTCCTATAAGCACAAGATCATAATATTTATAAAAACTATTTCAAATTCTTTAAAAGAAAATATGCCTATTTTATTCAACAAATACAATGGAGTAATGTATTATAAAACCAATATAGAATCAAAGCTAGTCCACTAAAAACTGTGTTTAAATATTTCTATCAATATAGGCTGAAAACAAAATTCAGGGTCAGACAGGTAGTAACATAATGCCAGACCATCTGAGTTTATATGCTGGCTTGGGCACTATACAATTGTGTGGACTTGGGTAAGATACTAAACTCTCGGTGCTCTATTTCATCATCTATAAAATAGGGATGATAACTGTATCTATCTCACAGAGTGGTAATGATTAAATACATCATAAAGATTTCTTAGCAGCTGGCAGAATGTAAATAATAAATGTTAATTAAGCATTACAGTTACTATTATTCTCAATAGCAATGAAGACAAAAGACTGACACATGTCTCCCTTTATAGGAATCAGAAACATAAAATCAGGATTTTAAAGCACAGTCCTACCTTGCTATACCAGTTGAGACAGGGCTGTACTACATCAGGATCATCAATGCCACTAAGTTCAACATACCAGATGCTAAAGTTAAAGCTGGGTCCCCAGGATAAGAGTGGAACTTTGTGAAGATAAAAAAGAAAGAAAAAGGAAAAAAAAATTAACATAGTTCAAATAAAACTTTAGCAAAGTAAAATCACTATTCGAGCCTATTAAAATTCATTCAGCAAATTTTCGGAACATTTTCTAGAAGCCTAACACTGTATTATTAGGTGCTGGGGCTACAGTAAAAAAAATTAAAACAAAAATAAAAATAAAGAAAATATGAATCATGCCATCTAGAGGATTCTTTGACTATAAAAACACTATAAAATAAGTTTAAAGTGCTCATTTATTTACCCCTCTAAAAACAGGACAAGGCTAGATGACTAATTAGGCAAATTTTATCAAACCCACAATAAACAAATAATTACTATATAAATTAAACTATATCAACACACAAAAAGAGACCAAAAGTTCAATTACTTAACAAGTGGCATAACCCTGAAAACAAAACCAGAAGAAAAAGAACTTAAGGCTAATCTCAGCTAACTATATATTCAAAAATTTTTAAAAGTTGCAGAAACATTCTACCAGGTTTTCACTGTAACCAAATGGGAGTTCACTGCAGGAATGGAAGGATGGTTTAACAACAGAAGCTATATTAAAAATTCACAATGTTAACAAAGTAAAAGAGAAATGTGTTTGATAACTTCAAATAGTGCTAAGAGTAAATTAATAATATTCATTTCCTATTCATTAAAAAAACCCTTTTAATATATAAGAAATAGAAGGCAAAATAAAACTACCTAAGCTAGATTTTTTTTTTAATATCAAAGGCCTCAAAAACTGACCTTAACGGAGAAACATTACATGTTGCACTCAAGTGAGGAATCAGACAAAGCCCAATTATCTCTATTATGCAACACTATATGGGAGATCTTATCAAATGTGATGAGAAAAAAAAATGCACATTAAAAAATATTAACACTTGAGAATGATAAACCTATCTTCTTAAATAATTCAAGAGATTCAACAGGAAAACTTAAGTTTGTATGCAAGGTAAACATGAAAATCAGTTTTCCCTCTACTTATAATAACCAACTAGAAAATATAATGAAAAAGTCCTATTTAAAACGGCCAAAAGAACTTACAATATCTCAGAAGAAAGTTTAAAATATGCAAGATCTATTTAAGAAAATATAGAGTTTTACTTAAGAAATGAAAAAACGAAATGACATACTACGTTCCTAAATGGAAAAACTCAATGTTGTAAACATCTCAGTTCCCTTCAATTATAAATTTAATGTAATCTCAATCAAAGTCTCAATGGTACAAATCCATTTTATTCTTTAAAGATTATAAATAATTTCTGCGTGGGGCTCGAACTCACAACCCCAAGAGTCACATGCTCCACTGACTGAGCCAGCCAGACACCCAATATTCATTTATCTCTTGTCATGTAACTGAACAAATTGGTTTTTAAAAAATGAGTAACACAAGAATATCCAAAAGAAAGTAAACTTTCTAAAAATACATAGTAATTATAAGTTTGATATTAGTGGGGGAAAAGGAAGATAAATTACTGAAGCAGAAAAGTATATCCAAAAATCTCAAGGTTCAGAGGAATTTACCTACCACAGGATGAAGGTAACATTTCACTTCAGTAATGACAGAACAAAGTAAAGGTTTTAAACATATGATCCACTGTGTCTTGGGGACCCCTGCAACCTTTTCAGGATGTACCAAGTGGTCACAACCATTGTTTATAATAAGACTAAGATTTTATCATTATTTATCATTACATTTTTAACTGTACTGACATTTGCACTCTTGGTGAAAAGACAATGGTGAGTATAACTTCCGACACATCAGCAGTGCCATGAAAAGCAGTAGCATGAAAATGTGTTAGTATTCTTGATACAGTAGAGACTGCACTGTATTCCTCACCAACATATACTTGCAGTTAAAAAAAGTAAAATACAGGGGCACCAAGGTGGCTCAGGAGCTAAGGTATACTAACTACATCAGTCTGATAAGTGCTCGACTTCAGCTCAGGTCATGATCTCACAGTCCATGGGTTCGAGCCCCACATTTGGCTTTGTGCTGATAGCTGAGAGCCTGGAGCCTGCTTTGGATTCTGTGTCTCCCTCTCTCTTCCCCTTCTCCGCTTGTGCTCCCTCTCTCTCAAAAATAAACATTAAAAAAAATGTTTAAAAAGAAAAGCATGGGGAGGGGGGGCCTGGGTGGCTCAGTCAGTTAAGTGTCTGACTTTGGCTCAGGTCATGATCTCACGTTCGTGGGTTTGAGCCCTGTGTCGGGCTCTGTGCTGAACGTCTGCTCAGAGCCTGGAGCCTGCTTTGTGTCTCCTTCGCTCTCTGCCCCTCCACCGCTTGCACTCTGTCTCACTGTCTCTCAAAAACAAGTAAATGCAATAAAAAAAAGTTTTAAAGGAAAGAAAAGTACAGGGTCACCTGGGTGGCTCAGGCTCAGTCGGCTGAGCATCCGACTCTTGATTTCGTCTCAGGTCATGATCCCAGGGTTGTGAGATCAAGCCCCGCATTGGACTCCATGCTGAGTGTGGAGCCTGCTTAAGATTCTCTCCCTTTGCCCCTCTTCCCTGCTCACTCTCTCTCCCTCCCTCTTTATTTTTTAAAATAAAACAATTTTTAAAGGACAATTCATTTAAGAATGTCTTTGATGACACAATAAAAATTTTTAATAAATTCCTAACATTAAGGACAAATATTTTCAATATTCTGTGTGACAAAATGGCAAGTACACATAAAGCACTTCCACTGTATACCAAAGCATGGCGGTTACCTCAAACAAAAGAACCCGTACAGCTGTGTGAGTTATGAGCTATAATTGTCATTTGTCCCCACCACCACCAATAGGATACAATTTCCTCTTAAAAGAAAAAGTTATAGGCAATCTATGATTATTGAGTTTGGGGTATATGCCAGATATTTATCAATCATTTCAAAGAAAACAACTGACAATATTTGTTGCCAAGGATAAAGTTCAAGCTTTCAAGGAAAAATGAGAATTTCAGAAAATTGGTATCTAAGGGTTGTGAATTTAACTACTTTTAGGCAATTTCTAATGAGACTGATGGTGATATGTTAATGACCATGATTTTTTTAATATTACAGAATGAAATGTTTCCACATTTGGGAGATCTGCATAACTCAGTAAACTGTATTTCTAAATGAACAATGAATGATGTTACAAAACCATGCACGGATAAAAGACTAACTCAAAGTGTAAGATAAGCCAATGGGTTTTAATGTAACACTAATATGGTTTAGAATGAATAATGTAACTATTCAGAAACTAACACTTGTCAAGTTTTAAGTATCAAAACAGAATAGCCATCATATTTGACATCAAACCTATTGATTTCCAAGTCCACTGCTCTCTTTTAGCACATCATGCTCAATGAGGAGCTACGTCAGATGACTTCCTATCTGTGTGAGTGAAGAAACACAAAGGCAGTAGCCACCAGTTATTAGGATATATGACTATTAGGATGTTTAATATGGCTTTCAGTTTACATGTGCAAACGACAAAAATGTCAAAAAGTTTTATACCACTGAATACTAAATTATCATCATTGTTTTGGTGTTCATTCCTTTATGTAGCAGTACCATGTAAAAAGTTGATCTATTACATCACAGCAATAACCATTAAGTAGTAGGAGTCAAAATAAAATAGGATTCTAAACCCAAGGCCAAAAGAACATATAGTCTCTAAGTATAACCAGACATTAGTTAGTAATTTGAAGTTCCAGGTCCAAGTTCAATAAGATTTGGAGGAAAAAAAATATCTTAATATATCTTACTCAAGTCCCAGTAAAATGTTCACTTTATTAAAGACCTTTTAGCAATTGTGTTTTAGTGAGATTTTGTCTATATACTGGATGACCCAACAGAAATATTTCTAGACTAATATTAGTTATAATGCTTAAAACCTTTCAGAGAACAAGAAAATCATATATTAAAGATGAAGAGTATAATTTTTTAACAAATTGAAGGGATCTATAAAGAATAAGCAGAGTAATGTACACTCACTTCAAATTTTACAAATGATTTTTATAGCATTAATAATTCTAATAATACATAATAGACATACTACACATTATATTTCTGAAATCTAGGGGCGCTTGGGTGGCTCGGTTGAGTGTCCAACTTCAGGTCATGATCTCGCAATCTATGGGTTCGAGCCCCATGTTGGGCTCTGTGTTGACAGCTCAGAGCCTGAAGCCTGCTTTGGATTCTGTGTCTCCCTCTCTGCCCTTCCCCTGCTCACACGCTGTCTCCCTCTCCTCAAAAATAAATATTTTTTAAAAAGTTAAAAAAAAAAAAGGAAAAGAAATCTAAATGTGATCTGCAGCTTGAAGCACATGTTCTTTGCTCCCCAATGAAAGATGCCTTTGCTCCCACCTCAAATAAAGATTAGAAACTGCTAATACACATCCTAAGGCTAAGAGTTTGCATCCTAGGGCTCAACCATCAGTTTTCCTCATGGCACAATCAGACACGGATATGATCAGGATCAGTGCTTCCCAACCTTCTTCATAATGACATGCACAGACAGTGATAATGTTTATGGCAAACAAGGATAAGAGCCTGCAGGCTCTTGTTACTCTAGGATCAAGGGGAGGGGGGGTGGTCAACACCTCAGCACAATGAAATGCATCTGTGACACATTCAGTGTGCTTTAGCAGTATCCCTCAGGAAACTCTTATCTAGATGGCTAAAACATCTAGCCATCTAGATGGCTGTTAGAAGATGACAGTAATTTTAAAGTTCTGAAAGATCATCTTAAAAGTTCAAGACTAACCACTCTGAAAGGATGCATCTATTCTCTTATAGAATTAAAAGTATACAAAACATCTAGCACAGTAACTGGCATGCAGTAAGTGCTCAATAAATGTCAGCTATTATTATTATAAGCTATTACTACTATATTAATTTTCCTCTTAATAGTACACTTTTTAAAATGTCACCTTTCCACATGCTTTCATAAAGGGCCACCATCAGGGCACTCACACCCGTCCCAGACTTAGTATTCATTCTAGACTTCTAAATACTTTTGAGGATCCAGAATGCAGGCCCAATCCAGCCAGAGCTGAAGCTTCTCCCTGAAGCCCCCACAACTATCCAGGCTGCAAAAATCCAAAAAATCCACAGAAATCCAAGTCATTCTAACAGTTTATGCCAACCAGGCAAACAAATATCTGCTAAATCACCACCAAGAGACAGCTACACATCACAAGTGCTTTTTCAGAATGACCTTTTAAGAAAACAGTTATAAACTAAAAATACTAACCTAATAGTTTCACATTTACCTTATTTTCAAACAAAACATATCAAGAGAATGTTGAAAAGACTAGAAAGCAAACACACAGCTGACCATTACTAACATCTTTTAATAGAAAAGAAATATGAAGTTATCTAAATATTAATATCCTAAATATCATGAGTTAGTAAGTGCCTATAATCACTTGAAAAGCTCAAGTTAACATTTGCCTGAAAACCATGAAACTAACCCAGGGTTAAGTAAAAGGCATCATTATACTCTGTAATTAAAGGCTGACAAAAAGGGCTGGAAAGAGGTCCAATTTCTTGTCTTCGGGCAGTTGAATGTCTAACTCATCCAGAAGAGACCTCTGTTTTACAAATTTTTAAGAAACTATGCAACTTCCCTAAATAGATATTTATTCACACTTCTTCTAATGACAAATACTAGAAGACTGAGAGCTATAGCAGTACATATTTTCCTTAAATGTAAACCAAAGACTGTAGATATCATGCAAAAAAGCACAAATAAAGCACATAAAAAAAAGAAATTTCACTTTGTATGACAAAGCAAAACAGAAGCTGAAGAAGTACTTTATGGGAAAATGTAAGATATTTCACTACTTGTATACTGAAACACGTAACTATGCAAGGGCTGTAGGAGCCAGCGGTCCACAAACTGAGGAAAGCAGTACTTGGTTAAAAAAAAAAAGAAAAAAGGACCAAGAGTTAAACATAGTAAAAAAATCTGCTTCTTCATAAATTCTCACAGGAAAACAGGAAATAGGTTTTTATTTACAATTATTCATTATAATAACAGAAACTATAGTTATAAAAGAAACTAGCACAGTGGATAGCCCAAATATCCTTTTTTTTTTAATTAAAAAAAATTTTTTTAATGTTTATTATTTTTGAGAGTGAGAGAGAGAGAGAGCACGCGCGCGCACGTGAGCAGGGAGGGGCAGAGAGAGAGAGACAGACAGACAGAATGTGACGCAAGTTCCAGGCTCTAAGCTGCCAGCCCAGAGCCCGATGAGGGGTTCAAACTCGTGAACTGCAAGATCATGACCTGAGCCAAAGTCAGACGCTTCACTGACTGAGCCACTCAGGGGCCCCTGGATAGCCCAAATGTTCTAAGAATAGCTTTCCCTGTAGAGTAGTCTTTATTAAGACCTTAATATATTCTTTTTGCCCAATAGAACTATTTGATTCAATGAAATGAACAGGCCACCTCTTGATAGGTTGGCAATGACAATGAGGTACACTACTTGTTCCAAAAGACGAATTTTTCTCTCTCAAATCAAAACATGGGATTCTAGCTTTTATTACTATTATTCTCTGAAGGATCTAATTCACTCTAATTTTAAGATAATATTGTCATAGTTAGGCAACATAGATACAAATTAAAATTGTCAAGTCCTCAACTTTTCTACCTTCTAAATAATAAATCCTAAAGAAAAGCAAAATAACCCTAAAATTAATAATTTTAAGGAAGCATTACAAATACTGTCTTAAGCTAAATAAATACATGCCTTAGGTAGTATTTTTTAAACATTACAATGCACCATATTAGTGGGCCATAAAATTAGTTTAATGAGGAAAAAAAAAGACAAAAAACAGAATAGGAGGGGCACCTGGGTGTCTCAGTCAGTTAAGCGTTAACTCTTGGTTAACTTTTGGTTAACTCTTGGTTTTGGCTTAGGTCATAATCTCACGGCTCCTGACTTTGAGCCCCACATCAGGCTCTGTGCTGACAGTGCAGAGCCTGCTTGAGATTCTCTGTCTCCCTCTCCCTCTCCCTCTGCCCCTCCCCAACTCACACTGTCTCTTTCTTAAAATAAATAAAGTTAAAAAAAAAAAAAAAGGCAGAATAGGAAATAGCCATAATATATTGCCTTAAGGGATTCATCAGTATTTAGTTTAGAATACTATAGCTTTACAATTTGATGAATCCTCTATGAAACAATCAAAGCTGAAACAAGTCACTTATCTCATTAAACCTTTTTTCTTTTAAGTTTATTTATTTATTTTGAGGGGGGGGAGGGACAGAGAGAGAATCCCAAGCAGGCTCCACAACGTCAGCACGGAGCCTGAAGGGGGGCTCAAGTCCACAAACCTTGAGATCATGAACTGAGCCGAAATCAAGAGTTAGACGCTTAACCGACTGAGCCACCCAGGTGCCCCTCTCATTAAACCTTCTAAGAAAACTTTCAAATGAAAAAATATTTGGAAAAGGCCCCACTTGAAATAACTGTCATTTAGTTATAGATGTATAAAGGATCAGAAAACTTTTTCTGCAAAAGGACAAGCAGTAAACATTTTGTCTCTTGCAACTATTCAACTATGTCTTTGTTGCGCAAAAGCAAGATACAGACTTATATAACCAGTGAATAACAAGTGTGGCAGTGTTCTCAAAATGTTTTAAAAAACAGGAGTCCTGAAGGATTCAGCTCAGCCCACAGGCTGTAGTTTGCTGACTGATGGTATGAAGAATTTATTTCTATTTCAGAATGCTGAAAACCTTACCTATTTTAATGAATCGACAAGGGAACATCTGTTCATCAATTTTATGCTTCAAGGTGAATGTTTCTTTGTTATAATCATTCTTTAAGCCACTGTGAATAAAAATAAGGTTATCAAATCTGACTTTATAATTTAGTAAACACACTAAAACAAATTCAGATCTTAAGGTTAAACAAAATACATGACCAAGACAATGTAAAGTAGTAGTTTAACATGAGAATATAGGTCAAAACTTGTACATTCACATCAACTGCATTGTAACTGTGTTCTCTTAGTTATATAAAGGTTGATGAAAAATGTTCAGTCTTAATTAAAGGATGTGGCTACAGTACAGGGAAATGTGTGATAGGACCTAGTATTCTTAGTGTGTAACTGAAAATGACATAAAATATGTAAGCAGTAAGAAAAAAATTAAAAATAATCACACTCACATCTGTCAACTTAGAGCCAAATATTAGAAAATTCTGATTAAGATGCCAATAATGTTCCTTTTATAGCTCAACAAATTTTCAAAGACAACCTTACTCCATTAGTTTAATAGCATCCACTTCACCCTAAATAAAAATAAATCCATATCACCTAATATAAACAACTAGGATTGAAACACAAGTATTTATGGGAAAGTCACTTACCTTCAGGTTGCCTTATGTCCTAAAACACTTTCATGACTTAAATCAAATGCAGTATAGATGTAATATTTACTCATATAAAATGCTGTGCTGATGGGACATATTATATCATAAATACATTCTAAAACAATATGGTTTTATTTGCCCACTCTACTGGCTATCTGATTTTTCATGATCTATGGGGCAAATTAAGACTTTCATTCCTCGTGGTCTATGTTGTGAAAACTCATATTTACTGAGCTCCTTCCAAGTGGCAGGTACTGTGCTAGTCTTATACCTTTTCTCTTTCTAGTCTCTAATTTTTACTAAATGACCAAAATATTATTTCTGGATTAGGGCAATTGATCTTAATGTTTTAGATAGAGTCTATAATTTTTACAGCAAAGATTTTTATTAATGCTGAAAATACTACTGAGGTCATTTACAGTTCAAAAATAAGACTGAAAAATAAGTAGGAAAAAAGAAACCCAAATTTTATTCTTTCTTTTTTAGTAACAATATTTAGTAGTGGCTGTTGGTTAAAAAAAAAAAAAAAGCTAACTCAAGCCACAATATTAAAATAAGGCACTAGAAATACAATAGTAGAAACATTCTTTTCTCCCTTGAAAGAAAAAAATCAAACCATGCAGATTTAGCCACAAAGAGACAAAACTAAGACTACAACTTGTTTAAAAGAGAACTCTTTCTTCCCCGTAATCATAACTTACCTGGACAACAACTCTGTCATATTTTCTTCATTCATTCCACCGAAGACTTTAAATTTCTTCAAATTGCAGACATGAGTTTTCTCATATTTTCCAAATGTGATGTTCTGGACTATAGCAGGCCTTTCAAGTTTCAGAATCAAGTACTAAAAAAAAACAAAAACAAAAAAACTAAGCAAGTTATATCCTCCTTTGTTTAGAACAGTTAGACAACTTTAGAAGTGAAACCTTTGCACAGTTAGCAGAAGAATGTGTAAGACCCGTCCCATCCATCCTGCACTGATAGACTGTGTTTTTAAAGCTGACGAAGAGAATTCAACAGCCCTGTATAGGCTACCATACCACCACCACTTTCTCCCAGCTAACTACATCATCCTGAACACTGTAGATGAAGGGGGGAGAAAAGGACTAGTAAGCTACCTTCTAATCAAGGCATGCCATTCAGTAAAAGATATACAGACTAAGAATTACCAAATAAAACAATATTAGATTGCAAAAGCAGCAATCACATTTTCTCATCAACTATATTCTGAGTGGTAAAATGTTAAACCTAAAAACAAACTTAGGGGTACCTGGGTGGCTCAGTCAGTTAAGCGTCAGACCTCGGCTCAGGTCATGATCTTTGGGTTTGTGAGTCTGAGCCCAGTGTCGGGCTCTGTGCAGACAGCTCAGAGCCTGGAGCCTGCTTCCCTCTCTCTGCCCCTCCCACGCTCTGTCTCTGTCTCTCAATAATAAATAAACGTTAAAAAAAATAAAATAAAATAAAAAATAAACTTCAGAGATTTACTAACCACCCCTGCCAATTTTTAAAAATTAAAAAACCTGGACCTACTGTAGATATGTCTAATGTAGCTCAAGATTTCCTGTTATACACTAAATAAAATGGAGTCAATTAGGGAATACATTTTACATTATGTAGATTGTTTCATTTATAAAAATCAAGAAGGAAACTACTACTGGTTGAGTATATGGAGAAAGAAGTATTCAGGAAAATGATTCAGATGGCTTTTGCAGTGGCTTCATGCTAATAATGGGTAATACAGGTGACAAATGTAGAAGAGTAAAATTGGTGGTTGGTCCTACTTCCTACCATGCACAGAAAATGAACTCAGAATGGATCAAAACCGATCCAAAATCAGTTCTTTAGAATCAAAGATCTAAATGGAAGAGCTAAAACTATAAAGTTCTTAGATGCGAATAGAGGTAAATATGAGATTCTGGATTTGGCAGTGATTTCTTAGATATGATATCAAAAGCACAAGCAACAAAATCTAAAATAAATTGCCCTTCGTTAACATTAAAACTTTTGTGCATCAAAGGATACTACCAATAAAGTGAAAATATAACCTACTGAATGGGAGATACTCCTCCATTGCTTATCTGTTCTCTAGCATACAGTTAGTTGTATCCTTAAGAAACTTTGAATTAACAAAAATCATATTACCATACCTATTACTTTGATATGGATAAAAAGAATAGCAATCTTAAGTTTTCTGTGGCAATTCTGATAATAAATTTGAATTGCTACCTAAAATGTGAACAATATATAAACAGTTGTTATGGTGTAGTGGTTAAAGCCTTGACTTCACAGTCAGTGCATCAGTAGAGAGGCTTTTAACTTGAAATAACAGAAGGTCCTATTATAGTGGGTTCAAACAAATCAAATCCCTCCTTCCCCTCTCCCCCAAAACTAGAGTTAGACAGCTTCTGGTGAAAGCTGAGTGGCTCACAATTGGCTGACTCGGAGATGCTCTTGATTTGTTTTTAAAATTTATTTAAATCAGGGGCGCCTGGGTGGCGCAGTCGGTTAAGCGTCCGACTTCAGCCAGGTCACGATCTCGCGGTCCATGAGTTCGAGCCCCGCGTCAGGCTCTGGGCTGATGGCTGGGAGCCTGGAGCCTGTTTCCGATTCTGTGTCTCCCTCTCTCTCTGCCCCTCCCCCGTTCATGCTCTGTCTCTCTCTGTCCCAAAATTAAATAAAAAAAAGTTGAAAAAAAAATTTTTAAAAATTTATTTAAATCAAAGTTAATTAACATAGTGCAATAATGGTTTCAGGTGTAGAATTTAGTGATTCATCATTTACATATAACACCCAGTGCTCATCCCATCAAGTTCCCTCTGTGGTACCCATCACCCATTTATCCCATCCCCCACCCACCTCCCCTGCAGCAACCCTTAGTTGATTTTTTTTGTTCATGATTGCACAGTGGTTGTTTCAGTCTCAGATAGCAAAGAGGTAGCTTTTTTTTTTTTAAAGCAGAACTGTAATCCCACAGTAAACTTCTGCTTACATCTCAGAATTTTGTCATGTATCTACCTTTGGCAGGAAGGTGGCTAGGAAAAACTGGGTTGAAAATGGTGGTTGGGTCAGCCAACCAACAATATCAACCAGACTGATTTTTAAAGTCACATCTGTCCGTGATTAGTGTTGTAATGATGGTTAAGTTAATTAGCCTTTCTAAGCCAAAATTTCCTCATCTTTAAGATAAGGATAAAGAGGATACTTATTATTATTATTATTATTATTATTATTATTATTATTAAGATACTACTTCTATTTCTCTTATTCCTACTAAAATGAGAATGCATGTAAAAATCTGAGCAATGTGCCAGACAAGGGAGTTTAGTGCTCACAAGATGTTAACTCTGATTTTATCATCATCATTATCATCATAATCTTTCATGTCAACATCAGCTTCATTCTTTTGTGGAGGTAAAATTGACATTACATAAAATTGATCATTTTAAAATGTGCGTGTTAGTGGCATTTAGTACATTCACAGTATTGTGCAACTATTCTATCTATCTAGTTCCAAGGTATTTTTTATCACTCCATAAGGACGCCTGATAGTGTCTCCTGTTTCCCTTAACCCAGCTCCCGGCAATTACTAATCTGCTTTCTGCCTTTATGAATTTACCTGTCCTGGATATTTTGTATAAATGGAATCCTATAATACATAACCTCCTATATGTGACTTCTTTCCCTTCGCATGTTTTTGAGGTTCATCCATGTTGTAGCATGTAACAGTACTCCATTCCTTTTTATGACTGAAGAGTATTCCATTTTATAGAAATGCTTCATTTTGTTAATCCATTTATCAGTTGATGGGCATTTAGGGTTGTTTCTATTTTGGCCATTGTGAGTAGTACTGCTCTGAACATATGTGTACAAGTGTTTGGATACGTTTTCTCATTTCTTTGGAGTATACACGTAGGAGTAGACCTTCTGGGTCGTATAGTAATTCTGTGTTTAACTTTTTGAGGAACTGCCAAACTATGTTCTGTATCATCTGCACCATTTTCATTTCCACCAGCAATGTCTGAGAGAGTTCCATTTTCTCTGTGTCCTCAGCAACCATCATTATCTTCTGGGTTTTTTTTGCTTTTGGTTTTGTTTTTTAATTATAGCCATCTTAGTGTGGTGTGAAGTTGTATTTCTTTGTGGTTTGAATTTGCATTTCCCTGATGATTAGTAATACATCTTTCTATGTGCCTGTTGGTCTTTTATCTTCCTTGGGAAAAAGGCTGTTGAGGTCCTTTGCCATTTTCAAATTGGGTTGTCTTTTTTGTTGTTGAGTTGTAAGAATTCTTTATATTTCTGGATACTAACCCTTATTAGGTTTATTATTTGCAAATATTTTCTCCCATTCAGTAGGTTATATTTTCACTTTATTGGTAGTATCCTTTGATGCACAAAAGTTTTAATGTTAACGAAGGGCAATTTATTTTAGATTTTGTTGCTTGTGCTTTTGATATCATATCTAAGAAATCACTGCCAAATCCAGAATCTCATATTTACTTCTATTCGCATCTAAGAACTTTATAGTTTTAGCTCTTCCATTTAGATCTTTGATTCTAAAGAACTGATTTTGGATCGGTTTTGATCCATTCTGAGTTCATTTTCTGTGCATGGTAGGAAGTAGGACCAACCACCAATTTTACTCTTCTACATTTGTCACCTGTATTACCCATTATTAGCATGAAGCCACTGCAAAAGCCATCTGAATCATTTTCCTGAATACTTCTTTCTCCATATACTCAACCAGTAGTAGTTTCCTTCTTGATTTTTATAAATGAAACAATCTACATAATGTAAAATGTGCTCCCTAATTAACTGACCCCATCTCCATCTTTCTCATTAACCCACACTCCCTCTCATTCCTGTCTCCTCCTTTCTCTAGTCATCCTTTAAAGTCTCAGTTTAGACGTCAGTCTCCCCTGACAGCTGGTTAGGTACAATGTTGTAACTAATATTAAAAATGAGTTTTTATACATCTGTTGTGCACCATCCATCACTCCATATATGATACCCTGAAATCCAGCAGGAAGTTGTTACATATATATAATTTTATTAATAACCAAATCGAATTTTTGTTATTAAAAAGTTACATAAATAGGGGTCCCTGGGTGGCTCAGTTGGTTAAGCTCCCAACTCTTGATTTCTGCTCAGGTCATGATCTCACAGTCATGGGATCAGGCCCTGCACTGGGCTCTGCACTGAGCATGGAGCCTGCTTAGGATTCTCTAACACCTTCCATGCTTGCTTGCTCCTCCACCCCACCCCCAAAAGTTGCTTAAGGAAAATTTAAACTCTCTAATCGGAAGCAAACCATAATAATTTGATAGAAACCCTTCTTAGGTAAAAATTTTAATGTTTGGGGCACCTGGCTGCCTCAGTCAGTACAGCATGCAACTCTTACTCTCAGAGTTGTGATTTCAAGCCCCACGCTGGGTATGGGGACAATTAAAAAAAACAAAAAAACGTGAAGCAACCTAAATGCTCTGGGAAATTAGTTAAGCTTAATAAAATATTTTTAAAAATTTTAATTTTCAATCACATTTGCCTTTATTCATAATGAAATAATAATTCCCATTTTCCAACTCGAATATAAATGCTGAGTAGTGTTACTATTAAACAATGTTGTCCTATAGTTAAATAGGTTTTCATTAGTTTTAATTTGGAGAAATAACTGCTGTAGATATAGCAATACAAACTAAAAGAAATTTTAAAAATTGAAGTTCATTAAGAACAAACATTTTATTTTTTTATTTTTTTTTTCAACGTTTATTTATTTTGGGGACAGAGAGAGACAGAGCATGAACAGGGGAGGGGCAGAGAGAGAGGGAGACACAGAATCGGAAACAG